TTTAATTTATTTGTTAAGATTATAAATAAAATGTATAATAATATAATACGTATAATATATGGGGGACCCTGATTATGTCGTAGCCTGGGGCTGCAGCCCCTCCCTAGCCCCCACCCCCTCCATACAAAAATAAAATAAAATAAATAACTAGGGCTCTATAAAGGTACTTATACGTACTATGGATTGTTATTTATTAAATATTATACTCACATGATGAATGTTAGACGCTGTAAACGGCAGACAGTTGTGTAGAACTACTTGATAATACGAGATCTGACTGGTCTGAAATCAATAATTACTACAGCTTTCCATATTATGACGACTGTCTGCACTGAATGACTACAAGTGAGTAACAAATAATGACTGGGTAGCGATTGTGAGTTTTCTACGAGATAAATATTAGGTATGCACCTACATTAAATTATCATATTATTTAAAGATCAGTGCACGAGGCGCAACAATGCGTGAGTCTAAATATATTCTTTATAATATTTCTATGATATATTATACTTTAACCGTCCATCCTCTATTATTATTATTCATATAATACACGACAGTTAATTTCAGGGGAACGGATACTATAAAATATATAGTACCTATAATATTTCTATATATTTTTAGTTACATACACAATAACACATGCAGCTGCTATAATGGAAATCGAAAGTAGGTTAGTATCTACTGTTTTGCATTTGAACAAAGCTAAGACGAAGATCTATAAGTATCATACAAAAAATCGTTTGTATAATAGGTATGCATTACAGGCAGGTAGATAAACGCGTTTTTAAATTGATTTTTTACTCCCATAAATATATTATATATTTTTATGCGTCCATTCACTAGTCGTATTTATCCGCATTTTCATTCTACTAATCCATTTCACGTGACAATTGACTGCGCATACATATTATAGGTACCTACATAACAGTGGCGTATATACAAATTATTTTCACTATGGGCCAATTTATCAGTTATCACTAGTTAAGCATATCAAGACTAACATAGCCATAACTATACATTTTTTAGGGAGCTGGGTGGTTATAATTATGACATATTATACAGTACAAATAAAAATTGAGCAATTTAGTTTTATAATTATTACGTAAAATTAAATTTTTTGATTCTTTTTTAAAAAATATTTACAGTGCCATTTATATATTTTAATGTTATCTTACTATGAATTTAACATCAAAGTCAATAAATTATCAAAGCAAGTCCTGACAATCTAACATTTAATTGTTGATTCCTCAAAAACGATTTTAATCAACCGGCTAACTTAATCATAGTGAAAAACTTATAACCGTGAAAATATACATGCAATGCTTTAATTCAACCTGAAATTTCACTATGGACTCTGGCCTAGGGGGCCTCCCCTATATACGCCACTGCTACATAATACTATTATTGTCGCGGGTGCCCGTATGTAATATAATATGTATATTATATTATGCACTCTCTATTATTGTCGTCGGAATACTTACGGTTTTCAATAGATATAACTACGAGCGATTGACGGATAAACGGTCGTACGACTTGCATTGTTAGAAGTTCAAATAATAAATTCATAAACTATATCTGCGCTATATAGGTAACTGAACCTATACTGGGTGATTCTTTTATCAAACAACACTCATTATTTCAAAAAGTGTAAATAATTTTGAAGATATTTTTTTACATAGTTTCAAGTCGCTTATAAAACAACGTTTTTATTAAAAAATTATATTTTTGAATATTTTCTATCCTTATAATTTTTTAAGTTTTTTACTTTTTTGAATAACAACATAGGGTTTTAATTTTATATTCCAAAGCAGAATATTTTTCTTAGTATTTTGATACATGAAAATCGAATTTGGGTTGAGTAGTTTATGAGTTATAAGTATTTAAAGTTTAGACGAGCGGTGAAGTGGACAAACTTTTCGCGGGGTAACCCCGATTCCCGAACCACTCCACTCCGCTCGTCTAAACTTTAAATACTTATAACACAATAACACATGCAGCTGCTATAATGGAAATCGAAAGTAGGTACACTGTTTTGCATTTGAACAAAGCTAAAACGAAGATCTATAAGTATCATACAAAAAATCGTTTGTATATGTATTACAGGCAGGTAGATAAACGCGTTTTTAAATTGATTTTTCACTCCCATAAATAAATTATATATTTATATGCGCCAATTCTCTAGTCGTATTTATCCGCATTTTCATTCTACTAATCCAATTCTTTGACAATTGAAAACACATACAAATTATAGGTACCTAAATAATATTATTATTGTCGCGGGTGCCCGTATGTAATATAATATGTATATTATATTAGGCACTCTCTATTATTGTCGTCGGAATACTTACGGTTTTCAATAGATAGAACTACGAGCGATTGACGGATAAACGGTCGTACGACTTGCATTGTTAGAAGTTCAAATAATAAATTCATAAACTATATCTGCGCTATATAGCTAACTGAACCTATATAGTATACCCAAACAGCAAATTAATATTTTTATTTTTTAATATATTTTCAAAACATTTTTCTATACAATTTTAAAAACATTTGCATATGTTAAATTTTTTTTTTAAAAATGACAATAAAATAATTTTTAATTGTTTTCATTAAAACATTTTTCATAAAAACATTTGTAAAATATATATTCGAAAATATTTTTTTATTTTGATGAGAAAAAGTTTTAAAAATATTGTCATTTTCAAATTGCTGTATGGGTATAGGTATGACGCGGTCCCGCGTAATGGCAGTTTGAATTCAAACAGCCTTTACGCGGAAGCCGCCCTGTGGCTTCTCAAACAAACCGCCAATCGACGACGGACGACGCCGACGCGCGACACCCGCGCCAGGAACTGTCGGCCGGCCGTTCGGTGAACCGGCTTGTAGAAGGAACTAGTTCTCCACGACCCGCAACACCCGGACACCACAAACGTCCCCGCGAGCATGACAAACAAAAAAGTATGTCAGCAATTTATTTGATACGCATAACATGGCGATCGGCTTGCGACTATTATCAATTTTTCTCTTATCATAATATCATGTAAATTTTTTACAAGGTTAGTTAGTTAGTTTCTAATAATCTCGAATAATATATTGTAAATACGTTCGACGTCGTTCTGGGCCCTGAAAAATAATTCCTGATTTTTTGAAATATGGGAATTTTTATTTAATTTTATATATTTGTTTTGTGAAAAAAAAACTAAATAGACAGGTAGTTAAGTTACTGGTCACATGTAATGGTGAAATGATAGTAGGTACCTAATGGCTAATACATTCATATTAATATATTATTATTCATTCTTATATTTGTAATTTTTATTTGTAAATAATATAGGTAGTACATACAAATTGTATAATTTTATTAATTTTTTAATTTTTTTTTTATCTCTTGTTTGAAATTGTTGGTCTATGATTTGTCTATTTAAATTGTTGAGGCGAATGTAGGTATGTACGAGTTCGGACTAAACACTGAACAACCTCTGTTGGGATATTAAGATGTTCAATGTGTGGTGTCAGTGTATTGGTAAGATTTTTTTTTTGATGGTCACTAGTTCTCAACGACCCGGATACGACACGGACACCATGCACGTCCCCTCGAGTTGACGACACACAGCAACCGACGGACAACCGATACCGTTACTAATCAATTTAATTATTACACATTATAATTAAAAGCGGCACCCCAAAGGTCCGCATCAGGTAATAAATAGTATATTATATAGACTTTAGTATATACCTATAGTGTTTAACTGTTCTATATTATCAATGTCATGTGGCGGTAATATAATACAATATATTACAATTAGACAAACACTTAGGATTACTAAACTTATATATAGTAATATTTACTTAAGTATATTCTAATATAACCAAAAAAATTGAAATTAATCATAAAATTTAACCTCCAAGAGTTGGTCAGTTGACACATATTTTTATATTGAGCCAACCGAGTCAACAATTCAACAATTTAATAATATAATCTTTTATAGACAAAAAAAATTCTTTTAGATTAGGAAATAGATCAGGGGCTGTTTCTCTAATCAGTAATGCAGTGTAATCATAATCACAATATAGTGTAAACGCACTCTGCGTAAAAACGTATCATTAGGTACATTATTATTTTTCTCCGTTCTCACATTTCGCTGTATTATATGGAAAACAAAAATTAGTGAGTGGCTTGGTGTGGTACAGTGCGTGAACTCAACTACTTACAACCCACAAATAAACTACAAACAAACAAAAATAGCTAATTGCCTAAAATGCCGGGCTCAAGCTCAATTAGGAAAAAAAAAATGAGTGACGCAAATAAACATATTCTACCATTAGCTAATAGTATTTGTCGAGATTAGCATTAAATGCACTTTTAAGATGTTACTACCAATGAAAGGACGATGGGTTCAATATAATAACTATTGTTATAAATTATTATTTACTAATTAATATAATTAATATTTACAAAATTGAAATTATTTTAAACATAAGGCTTGGGAAAAAAATTAACTTAACGTAAAAAAAAAAAATTAAATTAAATCAATACACAATAAAATTAATTTACTTGTAAGTTACTGAATAACCTAAGAAAAAAAATACGTAACTCATTAATTAACTTTATTAAAAGTAACTTAACTTTAAATTACTAACTCGTCCATGCCCAGCCTTGCTTTTTGGACTACAAATACAATTTTATTAATTTTTATACAAAAAAAGTGAGTGCTGTCATGGGACAACCGGTAGAAACGAAGTTTCTTTTCCAACAAATATTATAGATAATAAATACATTTTAGTGGAACCATTCAAAATAAAAGTAAATGTGAAAAATAAATGAAAACTTTTATTATTACTATGTAATTACTATTATATTAACCATATTCAATAATATAAATAAATTCCAATAATCAGAACCGATGCATACAGAATACATCTGAAACCTTAAAAATATTTGTCTATGTTAAGTACTAAATTATCTTTAACTGTACATATACATATATAAAAGAGCAACACTATTGTCTTTGATATGGATGATGCCGAACTTGTCTGTTTTGGTATTGGGGCGGTGGAGGTGAAGGTCGATTAGTTCTGGTATTAAAACCACGTTTATTTGGCGGATTTCCTCTGAACTGTAGATAAGCAGGGTCTGAATGGAAGAATTGACTTCCACTATCGACATAATGCTGACCACTTTCCCTGCTAAAATGTGGATCACCATCTACGAAATGTTGAGATCCATTTCCATAGCTTCTACCAGAAAAAGCACTATCTCGACTAAATGCACGACTCTCGATGTATTTTAGTCTTCTTCCTTCATACTTGTCTTGAGTTTCAAAATCACGGAACGACTGCGTTGATTGCTGAGTCATGTTTTCTGGCACTGAAGATGTCAGATTTGGAAGCTGAGAAAACATAGAGTCCCGAAACGATTGACCTGCATTTTGAAGTGGAGGATAAGGGTACATAGGGAAGTTCGCTGGTGGTATAGGTGGTGGCAATTGCGTAACACCTGGAGGAATCAACATTTTATTTGGTGTTGGTAGAGGGGGCGGAAGTGTTGGAGGAGGTGGCGGTGGTGGCATTGTAGGTGAAATTTGTCTTGTTGATGGAAGTGGGGGTGGTCGGTTTAAGGGTGACAGTGATAATAACAATCTAGGTGGTGTGGGAGGTGGCGGCAAAAATGTTTTTTGAGCATTTTGTGGTTTTGGTGGAACATTAGAAATTGATGGTTTAATTCCTGGTGGCATGGGTAATAATTCCTTGACTGGCAAGGTATTTGGCGTTGTAATCAATTTCACATTTTTCGTTATAGCTGCTTGCATCGCTTGTTCAGGTGTAAGCACTACAATAAAAACAATGATACAAATAACACTTAAGACTATAGCTCTAAAATATGCCATTAAAAGCTTTTTTAGTCACAAAACAATAAAAGCACATGAACAAAAACTCACTGTATTTAGCAGCCATCTTTTGCATCAATGATTTCTGATAAATGGACTGTGGGGGTATAACTCTTTTGGGTACTATACATTTTTCTAGGCATGGAGGTGATGGTGTTGCATTTTTGTCTGGAATTGAATAAAGATCCAGAATTTGATGACAAATATCTAAAAAAAATAATGTATTAATAAATTGTATACATCAAATATTTTTCTCTACACCAACTGACAATTTTTCTGTCCATATAGTGATGATTTTTTTTAAAAATGTCACCCCTTTAAAAAGAGCTGTTACTACCATCATAGACAATGGCATACTCTTGGTAGGGGAGGGGGGTTAGGGGTCTTTAGCACTAAGTTCTACATTGTTATCCTATGCAATGTTTTTATTGTTTTAATGAATTACCAAATATATTCCAATTTGAATTACCTATCATATTCTTTTTCAAAGTTGGGTTAATTACAAACATTTTAAACCAGAAGTAGACTGAACAAAGACTATTCAGACTATTCAAACTCAAGAAAAATGTTTGTTAAACCTTAAAAACCATATGAAACCAATGACCATAACAAAACTTGAAACTAAATGCACACGACCTTAAATATAGCACAGGTATATTATAATGGATTATAAATCGTAATTATATGAATTTATAGTGCATACAGTTCTGTAGATTTTATTTTCTCTCAATCAAAAGACTTGTGAAGTCAAAAATAAATGCTGAAGTCTAAGATAATATATAATCATCAATATTCAATCTTACAATATATACCTTTTTAAAAAAAATTACACTCAATAAATTGCAATTTAATTTAATACAATTTGATTGATGTTATGGCAAAACTATGTATTTACTTTTATTTTTAGTGATATCATGTAACAAACCTTCAAGCAAATCCATACTCATTCCTTGAACGAACATATCCCACCAACGTAATTGATTTGGCGTACGACCATGCCAACGGTTGAGTTCAAATTTATTCAGTTTACTAGCTAAATATATTAATGAAACTGCAATAATCTCTGGTTCCCACTGAAGACAAAGCGTTGTACATAAGCTGCAATATACAACACTTACATTATAAAATATTTTTCATTTTATCTGATGGAGATCAGGGATAGACTGTCATTTTCAATAGTACTGTTTAGTGATTATTGTATGTAAAATTTCAATTATAAATATCATTAAATTGTTTAGCTATCAAATAAGAAAATATTTTTATATTTAAAAATGTAGGTATACCATGTCCAGTCCACCCCTATGTCAAACAGATAGTTTTTACCTATCATTTACAAATATCCAAGCCATTTGAACCAATTTAGTTAGTTTAGCCTTATCACCTGTTAAATAAAACATAAAAATGATGTAAATCCTATAAAACCTATAAATTAAGAAAATAATAATAAATATTACATACCTTTTAAACATTTAGCATACTTTAATAAAAACTGATATGGATGATCAACTTGCAGATCAAATTTAATTGTTTGCAACAATATACGTTCGAGCACCATTACTTCTTCCTAAAATGTTTGAATATTTTATAGATAACTAATAAATTAGTACAATATTAATTTAAGTAAATAACAAACTAACCTTGGGGTCTAATCCAAGGGTATCGTATTTTTCCTCGGGTAATATTGATTTAGCCAACTTTATTATGTCTTTACATCTCTTAGGTGTTTCTTCTACTTTACCCGCAAGAAAAAGACAACAGCATGCTGTGAGCTTCAATAAAAAATGGCACATACATTAATTTCACATAATATAAATCCAAACCATGTAAATATTATGCTAGATGACAAGAAATTCAAGTTTTTAATTACAAAAATCAAAATGTAGGTGCCAAAAAGTAATTTATATTGCAACACGCAGTAATGGCTATTTTTCCTTTAAATTAATAATGTTGTCTCAAGCTTTCGTAAATAATTATTATTATTATAGTACAAACAAAATTTATATGTTTAATCTTATTCATAAATGGTCATAAAATATTATGTTAGGTTAACATTTACGTTGATATCGAGGTTGATATTGAAACGTAACAGTGATAACTAGTGGTCAAAATGGCTCAAGATAAATGAAGGGATGCCTTACAATTCAGATTTCCTGATACCATTATAACATTCTTCTATTCTTCATTTAACAAAAAATTAGAGGGATGCTATCCCTCCGTACCCCCCCCCCCTATTCGAGCACTGTTGATAACCTAAATAAATGTATCATATAGGTAATGTGAAAAACTGTAGAAATAAACAAAACGGTTTGGACACCCAGTGGCGACAAAGTCTATAATCGGTATGGCCTGAAATCTTTATTGAAAAATCTGGACGGTATGTTATTAGTATAAGCAAGTATATTTAAGCTATGATTATCAATAAATGTATATTAGGGTACCTCTATATTAAATAATTAAGATATTGAGGCTGCAAAGTTTTGAAATTGCCCGACCACATTTAAAATACTTCAGCGTCACGGTGGACAACAATGCAGCACATGCCACATAGTATTTCCAAAAAATATATAAAAACACGAAACACTTTAATGTGTTGATTTTTGAATTTTTAATCAATTAATCTGAACATTATACTGTTTACAGATATATTGCAGAATAGTAGTGTAAATAGCCACACAAAGCTACGGAGGCGGTAAAGTACAGCTGGACACAGTTTACTGTCACCGTGGCACAGTATGTAGGCCTTAGTACGAGTATTTTTTTTTTATGGACATCTACTGATTAAAACAGGAATATGTATTCTAATATGGTGTAAATATAAATTGTAAATAAATAATCATCGAAGAGGATTGCATTGCATTGCATGGATCACCGTGTTTTAACAGATTATGTTGTTGAAACAAGTACTATTTACAATCGTCATTCCACAAGCAATGAATGTAATGTAAAATCTTTGTTTAAAGAAAATTGTAATCTATTTCGACAGCTGAAATATCAATAAAATTACAAGGTTAGTAGATTCACTCAAACACTAGGTACTCACATATCTAGGGAACATTTTGAACGAATGATACATGTAAAAACGATGGAAGTAAACGACACCGGTGGCCACCGTGTTGTAGCCCAGGTACATCTTCGTACCAGCGTCGATGATGAACCTTGCCCCTTCTTGACGGTACCGACACTCAATCTCATGTGGTATGCCATCCTGAGCCGAGGCAGTCCGGTGCAGCTCATCCTTGTCGAAATACCAAAGGGCCATTGTCGTAGTATTGAGCTGGTCTGCAGGACATAAATTATCGAGATGTGATTATGTATTTACATTTCAGAGTTCCGACGTGAAACACTCAAAACACCAAAAAGGCAACACGTCTAAATAATGTCTACAGTCAATAGTCGAGTAGACACTCGACAGTGGAAAATCGAAATATGTAGTACCTAAGTACCAAACCAAAAAGCGATTTATATCTCTACGAAAGAAACAAATTTTTCTTATCAATGTCATATAGTAGAAATATCGCTCGTTAACGGAATAAACAACAAGCCAGTGAGAACCTTATCACCGGCCGCCGAAATTTATTTCATTTGAGTTGTAATATTTTTGTTCGATTAACGCCGTATTATAAATTTTAACAATACAATATTACTCACGAGTTAAGACCACGAGAAAATGATTGATCAAAATATATTGCTAGTGTGATTAACAAAATAATTATTTTTTTAAAAAAAATCCACGTTAATCTACGTTTAAAGTTTTCAGTATATTATATTGAATACAATTTAACTCACTTTTATATTTATATTATAATTTTGAAACATTAACAAATGATACCTTTTGTCTTATATCATGACGTATTGGTGAGTAGTCTTAACCACTAACTACTACAACAGATGAGTGATGACTGGACACTTCATGCAGGGGGACGGTGGGACACCGGTCACAAAGTTGTACGTTTGCGACTGTGGTGCTACCTAGTGACGTACTAGATTTACTACATAATATTTTCGTACCTATTATGAACGTAATATTTATATTATAATATAGACTTATGGAAAATGAAAAAAAAAATAAAAACCAATCGATTAACTTAATGAATATTATTTCAATTTTGTTTCTATATATTTCTATAATGAGTCTGGGCATAATATTGGGTAGCGACAAAACACCATCACCATAATTTGACAAAATGCCACTCGACAAAAAACCATCGTACCACACTACCAACCGTAAATTTGCGAATGAAAATCGTAGGTACACTAATGAATCGTCAAAAAGCCACACGAGCCTACAAATGCCATAGTTTCGGTGGCAAGTATTACTGTTGCGGAGCCACGACTGTTGTTCAATGTTCATGCATTAATTCGATATCTACGTGTGTGATAAGATAACATTTAAATAATTACTGCGTGAATTTAAATATTATAATCATTATTATTAATACAAGTAAATAATAAAATTGAGTATTGTAATTTTGATATCCTAAATTTAAATTATTATACTTATAACAAAAAAAGTAAGAATAATTCTAACATGTCCTACGAAAAAAAAAAAATAATAATAATTTATTTAACTTTATCTAATACGTCCTACAAAAATATAATACAACATAAAATTAATATAATTAATTTTAATTCAATATTGTTTGTTACTTTTTTTTTACAGTTCATTACCCGAACATAATTCATAATAATGAATAATTCAAATTTATCTTGATTGTAATAAAGATCATTGATATTAAACTATTAAAGATACAATTATATACAACGCGGGAATTCCTATACATAGACAATGTATATAGATAAAGATTAAAGTTTAATAAATTATTATTATTATTATCTTCTTTTTTTTTTTGTAGGACGTGTTAGAATTTTCATTATTACATTTTTTTTTTTTTAAGTATAAGTATAATAATTTAGATTTAGGATATAAAAATTACAATACTCAATTTTATTATTTACTTATATTAATAATAATGATTATAATATTTAAATTCACGCGGTAATTATTTGAATGTTATCTTATCACCGACGTAGATATCGAATAAATACATGAACAGTGGCTCCGCAACAGTAATACTTACCACCGGATCTATGGCATTTGTAGGCTCGTAAAAGCCACTCGACAAAAAACCATCATACCACACTACCAACCGTATAAATACGGTAACATTATCGGGGTTGCTACGAGTTTCACCAATTACATCTTTTCCCAATATAAAAAGTTTGACATTGATTTTAATTTTTTAATTTTTGTTTAATTTTCAGTTACGTACTTACGTAGAGAACGTACGACCACCGTACAACTTTGTAGCCACCTTTTATACAGAGTCCAGTCCTATGTGGTAGTTCGTGGTTTTAACCGATGTCGGAAGCTGCAGGGGTCTTTGGTCTGGAAGTTGGTCTCGAGCCGATTTGTGTGTGTTAAGGTTAGGACCCCCGCGGTTCGACGTGATAGCCCGGGTAAGCAAAAGCAACAAGTTCGCCGACAATGTTCTTTACTGCGGCCGACATTTCGTGAAAAAAAATTTAAAAAATTTCCAAGGTCCATGCAAATCATATAGCCAACCAACCAAAAGGTCATTCACCTCGAATATTAGTATATAACTGCACCCAATGCAAACGATATACTATACAAACCAAAAACATATTGTATATTATACCTACTTATGATATATTATGAACTAATAAAAAGATACATACCTACATATCAATATAATATTACAGTTTTCAGGTGAGTTACCCAACTGGTTGAGGTAATCAAATAGCCACTTTCTTGTTTTGGTAATTAATAATCCAATGTAGCATACAAATTAATTAATAAATAAATAGATCCTCATATAGTTAAGTAAAGTTTGTAGGTAGTAATAAAATTATATAATAATCTTATATAATAAAACGCTAATTAATCAGCATTTCAATAATATTAAAAATATAAGTAAGTAGTTTGAATGCAAGGATTAGATAGACATTTTTCTTGAGTATTGCATTCAGGGGCGGATTGGGCCACCGGGAATTCGGGAGTTTTCCCGGTGGGCCGCTTTTTCAAATAACTATGTATTCTTAAATTCCTATTAGGTACCAGCCCAGTAAATTTGCATTTTTTTCCCGATTTTTCAAAATAAGATAATACGTATTGCCGGAATTGGATTGCGGACAGTATGCAATAGTAGGTATATCAGGTAGGTAGGCAATCTATGATGGCCCAACGATGAGAGACAGAAAACAAAAATATAGTATTTTTCGAAAAGCAAAAACAGCAAATGTAATATAGCGGGGTCACTAGTTAGGACAGTTAAAATCGAAAACAACCCTTGATATGTTATGTAAAACCACATTGGGTGATCTTTAGGTAACGACAAACTTCGGAAAAAGTCTACTTTACTTGACATCCCGTGGAAGTAGAAAAAAGAAAAAGTCAACCTGATTTGAGCAGTAAGCACTGTAATATTCAAAAACTATGATTTGCTGTAACTTTTGAACAGTGTTTAAATTTCCGAAAATTGTTTTATACACTTTTTAATTCAGTATACTAATACAGTAGTACACGTATTTCGGGTGTAAAAAATTTGAGCGTCATTCGTTTGGGCGAATAATCCAAAATTAACTTGAGTAAAGCATATATCATTTGGGTCAGAAATTAACCGATCGTTTAGGCGAATTTATAAATTATTGAATAATAGGGAAGTAACATTACGTAGGTATATAATAATTTCTATAATATTTAGTTACTACAGCTAAATATTATTATTATATCGTTTCGGCTGATCGGTGAATACAGATAGTGAAAGATAATTTGTTAGATTGTACTAAGACGGAGACAAAACATTTTACTCAATATTATATTACATAATAATACTAAAGGAAAACAAGACTATACAATTTTTCTGATTGTTTAGAATTGAAGTACCTACATAATGTTATTATGGATAAACCACAGTAAAACATTTTTTTAGAAAATAAAAAAAAACACATACATTTTGCATGTTGATTCTGTTAATTTACCTATCAGGTATATTAAGTGGAAGTAAATTATAAGATTTTATTTAAGTCTAAAAACGCATTATTAAATATTATTGAATAGGTAATAACCTTTCTTATTAAATACAAAAATCGTAACATTAGTAATTTAAATTATTCACTTTTACTGTGTTATATATAAGTACTTGGAGTTTGGACTATTATAAATGTGTAAACATAAACTGTTCAAAAATAAAAATAAATTTGATATCGATGTATATATACACTACGAATAAAGTTTTATAAATTTCATATCTTGCCAAACGTGTAGTTATGTTAAAATAGTAATACATAATAATATTATGTTGGCTAAAATTAAATATTTGGTAAATTGGTAAGCCGGTATACTTTGTATTTTCCCGGGCCGGAATCTCTCCCCAATCCGCCCCTGATTGCATTATATTTACCTAACTATTATAGCTAAGAGTTTTAGTAGGACCTTGGTGTGTCGATTGTTTATGACAATGTCGTTACATACATAATAATGTAAGTAATAATAAGTAAACATGAAAAGACTACAATAAATTCAATACATTTCAATTTCTTAAAACATATGTAATATATATACAATATACATATATATACTAAAGAATTGTATTACCAAGTTTAATTACTTCAATGCATACCTTATACCTATACTAACCTTTACATTGGGTTACACATATTAATTTTTTGCAATATTTCAAACAAATTTCAAAACAAGAAAACTAAATATACATATAATTATATGTTATAAAATTATAATAAATTGAATTTAAATTCCTCCAATGCTTAAAATATTGTAATATTTGTCAACATTTTTATTACCTACGTTGTTGGCATGCAAAAATGTATTATACATGATTTATACATATTATATTAATAAATACATAATAGTATCATTTATATTCTACTTTTTTAAACTTTATTATATATATATTTATTTATTATTGTGTATGTGTTTAATGTTATGTATATTAAAATTTAAACTTTATTGTGTTTAAAATGTATGTAGTAAAAAATGTAGTAATTAGTAAGTACATTTGGAAAATTACATTTTTTTTTCTTCTTTAGTACGACCATACATGTTGCCTTCAGTATTATTCAATAACCCATATGTGAAACGCAAAATTCAGAAATGGTTCAAGTGCTTGAGATTCAAATATTCAAAAAACTGTTTTTTTTGCATTTTTTTTTTCAAAATTTTTTCTTTGCATTATACTACCATATTATTATATTATTATTATATGCATATCTATAGATATC